TATCGGATTATACATTGGGATTTCATATAAATTTTATAATGATTTCGGGGACTCTGTCCCACGATTACATTAAGTGATTATTCAATTTTGACCTCCAAAATTAAAATACGTTGTTTAATTTTACATTAATTTTACATTTAATTTTAAAAATGTATTGATTTAAAAATAATAAATCATTGAGTATGGCGCAATAATCAAAGCGTCTTTGCAAAAACAGTTTTACAAATAAGTAATAAATTAATGTTCATGAAAAATAATATTTGATTCACACACTTTAAAGTCTCCGTCAATAGTAAATAATCTTCAAATCACTCACACGTCCAGACAACACAGAATATTTATGATAAATATTTATTAAAATAATAAATAAAAATAAGATATTATAATAATAATCAGCGCGGAATACTTATTACTATTAATTTTTGAAATGTTAAAATATAAATATTTTATATATATCTTATACAAAGTTTTAGCGATCGAAATATTATTAAAATATAGATAAATATTTTAATATTTATAATATAAAGTAAATATAAGTAAATATTTGTAGTAAGTCAATAAAACTAAATATATAACGCTTACTGGAACTAAACAATATAAATGTGACACTAGGGTATATGAATAAGCCAGATTACAGTTGTTAAAACATAATTCAATAAATTCAAATAAAAAATTTCAAATAACATCAAATAAAATAAAAACATACGTTTCGACCAGAACATTCGATCATTATCAATGTTGATATCATAAATATAAGATTACATCCTAAACGGTTATACTTGTAGATGCAAATTATATTAAACGACTGTAATTACATATAATTAATTCAGTTGCAAATATTAAAATGATAATACGCAATTCGATGTACAAAACCTGCATTATCTCTCTATTATCGCAAATGTCCATAGATGTAAGATACATTATTGAAAGCAAGGTAGTACAATATGCTCGCAACTCCAAAAAGACTATCTGATTGCATTAGTCGTCCTATTCATGGTATATTCTTCTTCAAAAATCTTTACAAATAATACATTAGTGTGAAATCTATAAGTACATAATAAACAATAAAGATGTAAAAATTCTTATGAGATCCATAGATATATAATGAAATTATCATATCAAAAAAAGAAAAATATCCAGCAAACGAGAATAGATTAAAATGGATTAAAATTGAAATTTTTTTCTATCCGAATGCGTATTTTAAATAGCGAATACTTTTTTTTGGATTTAATTAGATTCAATTGGATGCAATTGGATTGAAAATTGCCTTTCCTATTCAAAATTTCGAATTGAACAGTATTCACAACGCAGAAAAAGCTAATATTATTTTTAGATTGAAGGGCATAAAGATATGCTCCATGCAATTTCTATAAATGAATAAAAATGCATTCAGGATTGAAAAGCATTCATTTTAACATTCGTGAATCAATATTTCTGAAAATCTGAATCCATTTCAATTCATTTCAATCTATTCTCGTTTGCTGGGTACGGCAAGTTAAATAAAAGAATAAGAACAATAAAAATTGCCTTCTATTTTTGTGAATCAGGAATGTCTAATTGCAATCTGATGAAAATTATAGAATGCATGGAAAGCTCAAACTGATTATTGTTTAAAGATTTTGTATCGACGATTTATACTTAAAAATGCTTGCCAACAAATGACAAACGAAGAGACATGAGACAAGGAGACGTTAAAGAAAGGGGAGGATTCAACAACATTCATATTGGAGAGGGAAAAGAAAATTTTAGAAGGGGAAAAGTAATTGTAAAATGGGATCATATATTTCCGATAGG